GAATTGAACTATCAAGAAAGCGAATTTCAGGGAATTGTATTGCCTATAATTGTTTTTCTGGGAATTGTAAATTATTGTGTTTGATTGGTATAATTTTTCACGTGGAAAATTTTGAAATGAAAGTCCTTTTGGGTATTCGTTTGGCTCTGTTTTATATGAAAATTGTCAATTAAAGGGATATAATTTATTGGTATTGGGGATAGAATTTGTTTCAATTGCCAAAAAAATCAAAAAGCCAAGAAAATCATCTATCGTTTAGTGTTATTTTGGTTTTATTTTATATGAAAATTGTCCATTAAAGGAAAATATTTTTTTTACAATTAAGGATAAAATTTATTTCCATTGGCCAAAAAAGTACCAAGAAAACTTCAAAGTTCAAGAAAATCAAGAATTTGAATGCCATGGAAAAAAAAAAGTATCTAACACCTAAAATTGGAAAATTTAGTTCCACCCTATCAAACACACCCTTAGATCATTAGAGTCCTTGCTTGTGCGAAGGGCACATTTACCATTCAGGCAGGAAATTTGATCGTTGATTGCGAGAAGCTTTTCCTTGCCCAAGGGTTGCACAAAATTAAATAAATTTTTATTGGAAAATATGTAATCGAAAAGTGAAGGTTAAAATAATTTGGAGAACAATGATTTTAGAGAAATCTATGCCTAACAAGTCTTAAACAAAGATACTTCTCTTTCAGTCGACTTCTTAAATTGTTTTTTTATCTGTCTCTTTCAGTCGACTTCTTGAGTTGTTTAGCTTGTAGAAGGATTGCTTTTATAAGTACTACAACAAGGAGAATAATTCTTTTTACAACTTTACCACCTCTTGTTTCACTTCATTTATAATGCCAACAATTTTTTGATATAGTTCCGATCGAATGTTTGATTATTGTGTCATGTACAAATCAAGTCTAGTAGTTTCGAGCTTTATATATGTATACTATATATTGCTGTAGTAGTCATCCAATACAAAGAATTATTGATTTGCTTGACGATCGAATTTGGAGCTCATGCATGATTGTACCGTATATGCATTACTCACTGAAAATAACCAAATTTTGAGATTTTTATGTCTGTTTGTTCGTGCTCGTGTTCGTGTTCGTGTTCGTGTGTGGGGGGGGGGAGGGTATATATATTAACTTGAAAAAAAAATCAATTACAAACATTAATATGAACTCTAATAAATTGAGAATTAAAAAATTTGAATTCCTCTTATATACATTAACATGAACCTTATTGATATGAAATTAAGTTCTAGTACAAGAATTTTGAAATGTACTACACGAATCTAAATTATTTGAGTATTAATGAAATTAAGTTCCACTTAATGGAAATAAAGTTGAATGGATTTTGAAATGTACTTTCACGGTAATAAATACGAAAATTGACAAAATCATTCGTGATAATAATTTATATAAGTAGGAATTTTATTTCATATTAAGAATTAATATAGGATTATTGGGTCGATAAATATAGAATTTTTGAAAGTATTGTCTGCTTCAAATTGGTATGAAATCAAATGCTAGATTTACCTTTGTGATCTGAATGATGAATACCACAATTTCTTCATCATCACTTTATATGCATAGAACATATCAACTAGAATTATTTATTATAGATACGCATTATGTCCCTCTATTTAACTTATTTGCACATTAAAATTTATTGAATAAATAAATTGGAACAAAACTCTCATAAGATTAACTTTTGTTTCGAAAAAAAATTTAATGAATTTAATTTTCTTTTCAATCAAATGAAATGAACCTGTTAAACGTACATTGATGATAACTAATTAGTTGACAAAATGATTCATGATAATATTATGGTTAAATAAATTTAATACATATTGAAAAACGAAAAGTAAGGTATTATTGAAATAATTGAATTAGGATAAGGCTAGAATCATCTTAAAAATGATTTTCACTTGATGTGATATTCAATAAATTATAGATGAGTAATCCAAAATCTTGTATGTTGGTTAAAAATTTCAACTTTATTTAGCTCGTGTTGACATCCATTAAATCAAAATTATTTTTTCTCAAACTCTTTTTCAGTCACATTCACACAATAAAATATTTTGAATATAAACAAAATACTTTTTCATAGTTTTTAATTACACATTCTTCAAAAATACTATTTCAAAACTTGTTTTTCCCAAAAAAATATTCACTACAATGGATCTCAAACCTGGGTGTGAGATGGGGTAGGTGATGCTTGTGAGGAAGATGAATATTATTTTTATTTTTTTTATTTTTTTATGTTTAAAATGTAAACTTACAATTTGCGCTTTTTAAAAATGATCAAATTATGGTAAAATGTTTGACTTTTGATCAACTAACGAATTTTTAGACTAAAATTGTCTAGATATCCTTCTATCGCACATTTTTGAAAAGTTTGATATACGTGTATACTGCGATTTAAAGGTTTAAAAAGTAAAACTACAGTGTGTGGTCAATATTTTGTTTGAAAAGCTGGAGCCTCCGCTACAAATATCCCTAATTATTATCACACATTTCTAGTCTGAGGCATGAACTGTTCATGTGCCCTTTGGAGAGACTCTGCTTGAGAGAGCCCCATGGGAAGAGAAAATTAAAGTTTGGTCCTTCATGCACATTGGCCTGAGTTAATATTTATATGCATTCATATCTTACTGATTTATTCGAAAAAATTACAGCTCTTGGATCTCCAACTTTTTTCTTTATTTTCATATTTCTATTACTTTTTTGAGTAATATTAACTTTAGATTTATTAAAAATAAAAATTAATTTACGATTATTTATTTTGTAGCGGCAATGGAAATCAACAAAATAAACCATAAACAAAATCATTAATTAATGGATTTTTTTTGGGGGTAAAAGAGTAATATGAAGTTGAGTATTTTTCAACGCGGATTCCCCAAAAACATAAAAATATATAGGAATTTGCTCCTGTAATAAAGAGGCTGACCACCTCCCTGACAAGAGCCCCACAAATGGGGCGAGGCCCACACCAAAAAAGGGACCTCCCCCCCCCCCCATTTGTGGGGACCGCCCCTGGTTGCTATAGCAGGGTCCAAATATATATATCTAACAACGTTGGTTATATTTCATTTTGTCTCTGCTATAAAATAAAGATTGTACGTGACCATTCTTTAATGGAAAATTGTTAAAATAAAAAGGCGAAAGTTTTGTGGCTGGCTGCAATAATTTCTCCTTCTTTCTTTACAACCAAAAGGAGGCAATAATATCATTTTCTTTTTATTATTTCATATATAATTTCTTAAAAAGCAAAATAAATAATTCTTAATGTCTCCTGAAATAAAATAATATAAACATGCGCAGTGACCCGTTCTTCACGGTGATGGGTTCCCATTCCCATTACAAGGTTAAATCCGTAATTTCAACACCGACCAAGGTCAATATATAAAAAATGGGTTAATAGCACAAAACGTCCCTACGTTTGACATTTATTGCGAAAAATGTCCATATGTTTTATTTTATTGCATTTTCATCCTTATTTCAACGTTTCATTGCTAAAAACGTTATTTTCACCATTTTGAATGTAAAATGACCAAAATATCCTCCTATTTAAATAAAACCAAAAAAAAGAAAAGAAATATAAATAATAAATTGCAATCTTACTCCTAAATTTTTAAAAAGTGCAAGTGAGTCCAAATAATTATTAAAATGCCTAATAGTACAAAACATCAATACGTTGGGTCTATAGTGTGCAAAACGTCCCTACATTTCAAATAGATGAAAATGACATTATCGCAATGAAACGTGAAAATAGGGATGAAAATGCAAAAAAAAATTGAAACGTATGGACATTCTCCACAAGAAGTGTCAAAGGTAGGAACGTTTTTCGCAAGAAGTGTCAAACGTATGAATGTTATGTTCTATTAAGCCTTATTAAAATTAAAACCATTGCCAAATCGATGAGCCTCCATATCATTCCCAAAATACCATCACCTAAACTCTGGCAGCACCACCTATCTGGAGAGATTTATGTCATTTGCAACACACCAATCGACTATGCTCATCAGGGCGTTTTTCTTCATGGTCTCTTCTTCTCCAAATGGGACTGTCACCTTAGAAATAAAAAAACTCTGACCAATCATCGCAAAAACCGCCTAACTTTCATATCGCTGAATCATCTGTTGATGTTTTAAGACCATAAAGAGAAGCGTCCTGGTAAGTATAGTCGATTAGTGTGTTGGAAATGACATGGATCTCTTCATAACAGGTAATGATGCCGGAGTTTGGGTAATGGTATTTTGAAAATGGTATGGAGGTTCATCGGTTTGGCAATGGTTTCAATTTTAATAAGGCCTAATAGCACAAAACATCTCTACGTTTGACACTTATTGCGAAAAACGTCCTTACCTTTGACGCTTCTTGCGGATAACGTCCATACATTTCAATTTTTTTTTTTGCATTTTCATCATTATTTTCACGTTTCATTGCGAAAAATGTCATTTTCATCAATTTGAAACGTAGGGACGTTTTGCACACTACAGGCCAAACGTAGGGACTTTTTGTGCTATTAGACCTTTTAATAATTATTTGGATTCACTTGCACTTTTTAAAATATTTAGGAGTAAGATTGTAATTTATTATTTATTTTTCTTTTCTTTTTTGGTTTTAATTAAATAGGAGGGTATTTTGATCATTTTACATTCAAAAATGGTGAAAATGACGTTTTTAGAAATGAAACGTTGAAATAAAGACGAAAATGCAAAAAAATAAAACGTATGGACGTTTTTTGCAATAATTGTCAAACGTTGGAACGTTTTGTGCTATTGACCCCATAAAAAGTTTCACTAAAGGTCACTAACTTATAAGCTTATTTCATATTGATCAATTAGTCAAATCGACGTATTTATGTTTCAATTCAACGACTCTACTTACATTTTTGTTTTTAAGTTGAATGTTCAGACTATAACATTACTAGAATGGGCAAGTTCCTTACATAACAAATACACATCAAAGGTTCAATATTTTAAGTAAAAATTAATGATTTATATTTATTTTTAAGGGTGTGGGACTTTTTATTTTTAAGCACTAAAGAACGTTCGCCAAAATAAATTGAGTTTTAGGTATTATTTGACAATTTTTTTTTTTTTTATAAAAGTAGGTAGTAGTGGCAATGGACCAACCCGAGCTTGGCTCAATCCACCAACTCGTGAGCTCAAAAGCAAGCGCACAAGCTCAAGATTTTTTTTTTTTAAGTTTAAAATTTTTTTTTGATATTTTTATTCTCATTTTTTTACGTGGGCTCGTGAATTTTAGACTCGTTGGTCCATGAGCCATTCGTGAGGGCTTGGCTTGTCGAATGAACCTCCATTCAACTCGGGCTTGAGCTCGTCTTGAAAAGAGTCTGATTCATTCATGGGCTGAGTTTTGATGAGATGAGTTGACGAGTTGAAGAACTACTCGACCCTTTTGCCCCTAGAAGTAGATGAAATATGCAGTTGAAAAGTAAAGTTGTGAATCCCATAAAAAATATGATTAAAATTAAAGTTTTTCCAGTTAATAAAATGTTGCCAAATTTAATTACACAAGCACATCATAATGACTACAGAGAGAATGGTCAAACCGAAATAGAAATATAAGTTGAGTGGATTAATTTACACAAGTTCAAGTCAAGTAACCAACATTAAACAAACATGTAAGTTGGGCGATCTCCAGTGAAATTTCCAGTCAATTCATCCAATGACTAGTTTCGTCCTTTCAGTTTACTGTATCGTACAGTAAGTCCCCAGGAATGGATTGCTTTGCTCATTAGCAAGTTCCTTCAGCCTCTCTCTCTCTCACACACACAGTACTCGCATTCTCTCTCTCTCTCTATACATATCACCTTCTCGGCAGTTAAGCTGCTGCAATCCCTCTACCTAATTTTTCAACTTGTGTTCTCTTTGATTTTCTCTCACAATTCCATTATTTAATTTTTATGATTGATTGCATATTTCATCCGTTTAGCTAATATAGTCTCGAATCCTGAGACTGTTAATCTTCTTGTCTTTGCGTGTATGGGAGTGTGTTTGTGAGAGTGTATCTCAATATCTGTATAGAGCAAAACGATGCCGTTGGTGAGAGTGGAGGTAAGGAATGAATATGGACTCGGAGCTCCGGTGCTGTATAGAGAGGCGAACGAGGAGGATCCGAAGGAGGTGCTCGACGGCGTCGCTGTATCTGGTCTCTTAGGGATCTTACGTCAGCTCGGCGATCTTGCTGAGTAAGTCTTACGACAACTCTGTGGAGAGAGTCTATTTTTCTTTCACTTATTTGAAAAGGTTAGGTTAAAAAGGTTCTCTTCCTAAGAATTCAAACTTGATTAACTTTGAACTCTTCTAGCTGTCATTTGCTATGTTATGCTTAAATTTTGTCTAAATTTGAGGATTTTGTTTGCATAGGTTACCTACTTTGTAATCTAGTGCGAGATTTTTCTTAAATTTGAAATAACAATCACATTACGGGTTGAAATGTTTCTCTACCCCAAAATTCAAATTTGATTAACTATGAACTTTATTTCTTTGGTTTTTTCCTTCTTCAAGTTAATTGCTGGATTTTGGTCTAATTTTGAGAATTTTTTTTGTATTTTTAGTTACTGCTAGTCTGCTACTTTGTATGATTTTTAATTTTTTTAAATTTGAGAAAATAATCATATTATAGTTTCAATTTGTATTATATTCTGATTGTCAGTTGAATATGCAATGCCTTGAGTGCTCTTATAAGTTTGGTGAGAATGGAAAGCTTTGGATACTTGTTTTATTCATGTTCTTCTGGTTTGAAAATTTAGCTTCACAATTAGTGTCAAGATAGATCAAGGATGGTTCAAAGATTGTGCCCAGACTTTCATGCTAAGGAGATGGATAATCACTCACCCAGCATATACTTTCTCTTTTCAGTTCGGCTTCCTATAAACATTGGGCACCTCATTGCAGTTCCGATGAGGATGGTGCCCACACGAGTTCCCTCAAATTCTACTATTCCGAATGGCAATGTCTGCCGACAATACTTCCATTATATAGTTTTTCTGTTTCTGGACTGGTAAATTGAACTTCATTCAATTTACAAATGTAAATTATTGTGAATTTAATTGGTAGGAGAAATTAGTGATTATGCTTAGCAAATTCTCTCTCTTAAGAAAATTCTTTTGAAAACTTTGTACCCCAAGAGGAAAAGCATTATCTCTCTTGTCTTTTCTCTATTAATAAGGAAACTAAGTATAGGAGGAGAACAATTTCCAACTTTCTTTACAGTTATGTTATTTTCCTCCCAGTTCAAACATTGTCAGTAGTATGCACTCATAACTAAGCCTTACTGGAAGTGGAGAATCTATATGGATGACAACCAATGGAATGCCAAAAAGGGTCATGACTTTTGGCGTTCTGTGTTTTTCGCTCTGATGCTCGGACTCTTCGAAATGGACGAAGTACTCGTGTTGTGGGTATGGAATATGTGTCAGGTCTTACAAGTTTCAATTTCTCTCCTCCCCCTTTTTTTTTTGCTCTCTGTAAATCTAGCGTAGCTGCTGAGAGGGTGGAAGAAGGCGGCGGTGCTAGGTTTTCCCTTCTATTTCTTCTTTTTCTTCCTTTTTTTCTTTCTCTCCCTCTCTATATTGATGGTTTAGGGTTTTCTTTGTATAATATGAAAATGGATTTCATATAGAGTCCGTTTGATTGCAAAGATGGAATTTGGGTGGAAAGAAAACGAATTTTAGGGAATTGAATTGTCTAGAAATTGTTTTACTGAGAATTGTCAATTATTGTGTTTGATTGGTATAATTTTCCATGTAGAAAATGTTGAGTGTTTTCTAGTGTTTGTTTGACTTTGTTTTATATGAAAATTGTCAACTAAAGGGATATAATTTACTGGTATTGAGGATATAATTTGTTTCCATTGCCCAAAAAAAAAAAAAAAAGAAGAAGAAGAAGAAAATCATCTATCTTTTGGTGTTCGTTTGGCTTCGTTTTACACAGAAATTGTCAATTAAAGGAAATTTTTTTTTACAATTAGGGATATAATTTGTATTGCCAAAAAAAAAAATAATAATAATAATAAAAAATAAAAAAAAGAAAAAAGTAGCCTAGAAAACCAATTCCCACCACATGGCACTATAGCATACTATCATTCTACCATTGATACCAACCTATTGTTCCTACTCTGGACTAGGTGGAGATTATTGAAATCTGCAAATGTTGGATGTGTACTTTAGTTATTTCTGTGCCGTCTTCTTATCCTGAAACTATATTTGGCCCCTGGTACTGTTATTTTATCGTTAGATTTTATGCTGTAAACAACTGCAAAAATAAACTGAGAGTTGAGCATAATTTTCATTATTGAAAGAACTGTGTTTCTTTACATATTTTTAATGATGAGTTTAATAACTTTTTTGACGATATTGTTTCCTGTAGATCACTCTATCTGATATAGTCAGCATTCCAAGGACTCGTTAATTTATTCTAGCAATCTACTTGTTATTATGTACGGATTTCAGACATGAGTTGCTGGGATCTACAGTTAATACTGCAATGTCTCTTCAACTATGTAAAGGGTGACAAATATTGGAAAAATAAAATAGATAAGGAGAAAGTTCTATAACGTTATAAAATTAATATATGATTCATAATTCTAATGCCATCTGGATTCTATATGCTATTTATTTAGACATCAACTATTATTACTGAATTTCAGCTATTGAAACAATATAAACTGAGATTACCTCTTCTAAATTAATAGATTTGCAGCCGAGGTCTTTCATGGCTTACAGGAGGAACTGATGATAACATCTTCTAGAAGTCATAAATTGATGGCTCGTGTGCAACATATAGAAGCTGCACTTTCTCCAGTTGAGAAGGCTGTACTGGCCCAAAGGAGCCATTTACATTACGCTTACACAGCTGGTACGACTCATTATCTGGCTTTGACATTTCATCACCTTTATGTTTCTGGGTCAGGGTGGATAGCCCGTTTCCATTCACAGGCCTCTTTTGGTTTGCTGAATCGCCAAGAATCAAAGCCCATTCCAGCATGAATTCAGTTTCATCTGAATCACTGATGGAATGTCCTTTTCCTATCTATTGTTTAGTTGCAAAAAGGGAAAGCTACAAGTAAGATTGACCCATGAAAATCCACTACCCCGAGGGGTATGGAGGGATGGGGAGAGAGAGAGATGGTGGGGGTGGGGGTGGTGATGAGTAGAGGTAAACTGTTGTGGTACTGTGGTGACAGCTGTGTTTGTCAAATGGGCATTGGTGTGTATGTTTCAAACTCATGCTAGAATGGTTTCTCCTCTGGGAACTAGCTGGATAATGGTTTCCAATTGGCATTCCCACTTTTTTTAGTGTCACAATGGTCTTTTCATTTAATTTGAAATAAATAAATAACAGCGGGTGCCAAACCTGCCCTTTTCCCCAGATTTTGAAATTTACAGCAGCATGAATGATTACTCTTAATATTCATGAAAAATAGCTAATTGCAGGTTCCAATTGGCATCCTCGCATCCGGTGTCACCGAAATCATTTTGTATACAGTGAAATGCCCCAATTCATTATGGATTCCTATGAGGACTGCCATGGACTTCCACCTCTGTATTTGCTTGATAAGTATGGGCATCTCTTAAAACATCTCCTGTTCCTCTCTGTTTGTCTTGCCATTGAAGTGTGTGTTCTGTCTTTCAGGTTTGACCTTGGTGGCCCTGGATCTTGCCTGAAAAGGTATTCAGATCCAACTTTCTTTAAGAGAGCTTCAGCAGGGGCTGGTGAAGCACGTACTGAGAAAATTCAAAAAGATAAAAAGGGTCGCAGGATCCAGGTATGTTTGATGCATCAACCAATAAAAGAACCTGTCTCTACTTGTTCTCTACCTCTAAACTGGGATAATTGCAATATAAATTATTTTCTCCACTGCTATGCATTGCTAAAACTGAAAGGTTCACTATAAGGCTATTACCAGAGACCTGAAATGCATTTACCAAAAGGGTACTGGAGCAACGTTGGTCAGAAATTACTTTGGCTTGATAGCTTTGCGGAAACTGTGCAATATATTGCCAGAATTATCAAAATTTCTCATTATAGTCGACTTCATATTTAGTGAAAGGTAAAATAAAAACTTGAAAACCCCCTATCCCAAGACAATGGTGCTTCGGAATTCATCAAATATGAATTGAGGTCCCATAGTCCAATTAAAGTAATAAGATTAATTTGTTATTTCAGTAAAAAGAAAAATTGCAACACAGTACATTCCTTTTCTTTTCTGTTATTTTTTAGGGGCCTGATTTTATCTGGTCAGGTGATTGTATTGTTACAACGTTGTGCTTAAAAACCCCCTATCAGAAGACAATGGTGCTTTGTAGTTTTTTATCAAATATGTAATGAGGTCCCCTGGTCCAGTCAAAGTGTTTAGATAAATTCACTGACAGTAAAAGAAAAATTGCAAGACAGTGGGTTCCTTTTCGTTTCCATTTTAGGGGCCTGATGTTATCTGGTCAGGTGATTGTATTGTTACAACGTTGTGCTTAAAAACCCCCTATCAGAAGACAATGGTGCTTTGTAGTTTTTTATCAAATATGTAATGAGGTCCCCTGGTCCAGTCAAAGTGTTTAGATAAATTCACTGACAGTAAAAGAAAAATTGCAAGACAGTGGGTTCCTTTTCGTTTCCATTTTAGGGGCCTGATGTTATCTGGTCAGGTGATTGTATTGTTACAAGGTTGACAGTTGTGTATAACTTTGTTCTGCTGACCATTTTTGCATTTCAGAAATGAAGATACCTGTAATTCACTAGTGCTGTCAACAGAGATTTTATCAAATGTTTTTTATGTCAAACTAAATTGCTTCTTGTGCTTCAAGTCTTTTTACAATTTATTGGATTGGTCTCTTATGTGTATGTTCACGTATTTATGCATCTAAGATCTAGAAATGTAACAATTTGCCTGATTGGCTTTTGTACATAAGTTAACAATGGCAAAAGAAAACATCCCTCTGAAGCTATTAATCCTCATGTTATGTTAATATTGATATGAATTCTTTTTTTTGCTTTTTATGATCAAATATGAATTTAATATCCTAATACATGCCATGAATTGAACAGAGAAAAGGATCATGGGCCAGGAGTAGAAAAGTATCACGAGATGCATCATTTTTCAATCATAGTGGCAGGTACTTGAATTTTATACTTAAATTCTGAAGGGGAAAATGGCAAAGTAAAAACGAGGAAATGGGCTATTAATACTAGGCTCCTAGCACAGGATTTTCATTGCCTACTGATTTAAGATCATTAAAAATTATGTTTGGATGCTCCAACATTGCAGAATGCAATTCAGTCAACCGAGTGTTGATGGGAAAACTTCTCCTTTTCAAACAGTGCCCACATTTGATGCTACATTAAAATCTGATATGGGAGAGCAGTCAAATTTGGATTCAAGAAATGAATCGGGCTACATTGAACATGTTTTCTGCCCAACTTATTCCATGCAACCCGAAGAACTAGAATCTAAAGAATCATTTTCTTCTCCATTAAACAACCAAAGTTATTCCCTTGATTATGAGTTTCTCAAGGAGAAAGGCGCTGATGCGGTTGATGATAGTCAAATCAATTTATCAGAAGCGCAAACAGGACGGACTTCACCTTCTGTTACTTGGGATGAGAAGGCAGATATACTGGAGCCCAAGGCAGAGGAGTTTGATAGTGATGAAAATTTAGAGTCATCTTGCACAAATTTCGACCTAGATACACAGACAGGTGGAGCAGTTAGTTTTGGAACTGCTAGCAAAATGGAGGTCCAACTTTGTAACCATGATGTGCCAACGTCAAAGCCTGGTGATATCCAGGTCGATGACTTTGAGAGGGATGGAGCAGTTAATTTTGGATCTGTAGACCAAATGGATGTCCAACTTTGGAATCACAATGTGCCCATGTCAAAGCCTGGTGATATCCAGCTTGGTGACATTGAGGGGGATGGAACAGTTAAGTTTGGATCTGTAGACCAAATGGATGTCCAACTTTGGAATCACAATGTGCCCATGTCAAAGCCTGGTGATATCCAGCTTGGTGACATTGAGGGGGATGGAACAGTTAAGTTTGGATCTGTAGACCAAATGGATGTCCAACTCTGTAATCACGATGTACCAACAACAAAGCCTGGTGATATCCGGATTGATGACATTGAGGAGGATGAAGCAGTTAATTTCGGATCCGTGGACCAAATTGTTGTCCAGTTTCTTAATCACGAAGTACCATCGTTAAAGCCTGGTGATATCCAGCTTGACGAGATTGAAAGTGAAACAGATCATTATATGGATGCACTTAATAGCATGGAGTCAGAGCCTGAAACTGATATAGACTGCACGACGAAGCAAGAAGTACTGCATTCCAATACATTGAATGATAAGAAAATAGATGATGGATCGTTTGGGATTGTTATGCAACATTCTGACTGTCATTCATCAAATTTTGAATCCAATTTTATGGACAATGGTTCTCTGAATGGACATAATGCCATTTCAGTGTCTCTGGATACTCCTCCTGCAGCTTCTTGTTATACTGACGAAGTAACAGAAGAGGATAAATTTAACTCAATCTCCTCCGAGAACAATGCCTGTTTGCCTTCCGCTGAAATGGATAGCAAGTCCTTGGAAACAGGCCTTCCACAAAATGTTGATGACTCTGACAGAGAAATTGTTTTCAGCAAAGTATCATCATCTAACTCTGGAGACGATAATTCAGGAATGCCAATGAGCACTCTTGAGTCTCAGAAACCTCCACCAGAATCTTCAAATGTTACTTCAGTTAAGTTCTGGACTAATGGTGGCTTGCTAGGACTGGAGCCATCAAAGCCTCCAGATTTCAGTGTACTGAATGCTCTCGCTCAAGATTCTGTGGCCGAAAGAAATGCCAAAAATAGAACCTTTAGTCAGAGCAATAATTTTGGTGGCGATGGAGATAAAGGAAAACCCGATCAAAGGGAAAATGCACCGGCTGTCAAATGGGGTTCCGATATGGGTTGCTCTACATCGTTCCAAGATTATCAAGAAAATGATTTCTCTCTTAGGGAGAGATCTTGTAAATATTCGCCTGCCGATATAAATGCCAAAGCTACCACAGCGTGTCAGGAGAATAACCGAAGTTCATCTCGGATGTTTGAAATTGGTAATAAATTAATTTTAAATGGACCTAACAGAAAACTGTCACTTGGTGGAGACGAAATTTCTGACCATGGCAGCTACCTGAGTGCAGGTGTTTATGAGCATAACAATAGTCAAAAGTTTGGATATCAAACATTCCCAGGGACGACTAAATGTTTGTTTGGAGGCAAATCTCTGACTAGGTCACCTTCTTCATCTCCACCACTTGAGCATATGAAAATATCTTTCCAGCCAATAGATGCCTGCGAGACTTCCAAGCTGAAATTGAAATTTCGTGATGGTAATAGTAGTTGTGAAAGCAGCAAAGATACCTTTCACTTGTTTCAGTTGGTCCCAGAACCATCCATTGAACGATACAGTGTTGGTTTAGACTCAGATGATGATTCATTCTATAAATCCTCTCCTTCTGTGTCAGATGATTGTCTTAGTCATCACTCAGAAATGAATTCTGAGCAGTGGGAGTCTGGCGAATCTCCCAGAAGCAAGGACCGTGATTTATATGATGCTTTGCGTAGAATCTCATTGTCAGAATCTGTTTCAACAACTCTAGAAATTGGGAATGTCCAGGGACACACCCCCAAGAATTCCACCCTTCCAAATACATATATTGAAAACGGTGTAGAAAATTCTCAACCTGAATGTTTGTTTGATCTTCCGTGTCTTGAATCCGTAAATCATTCAATCAAGGAAGAACAGAGAAAAAATTCCCTTAAAAATAGTCTTCCAGAACCACCTACTCCCCCTCCTCTCCCTCCACTGCAGTGGCGGGTCATGAATCCACATTCAGATGATGTAGAATACGGCCCAGTTGCTGCTATTCAAGCCCCTAACCATGCATTTGATCTGAAACTTTCAGCCTCTACAATTCCTCGGCAACCTAAGCCATCCCCAGTTGATCAAGATCAAATTATTGAGGCTGAGAATGTGCTAAAAAGCACGGTATATCAAATCTCTCTCTCTCTCTCTCTCTCTCTCTCTCTCTGTGTTTTCTCTTAATTTATTAATCAAAGATGATGAAATAAGATATGCAAGCCTATCTTTCAGAGACATAAATTTGTAACTGCTCGTGTTTTTGTGTGCAGCATTTGGAATTACAGAAGCTAAATGGAGGAAGCGAAGCTAATCAAGCTGTAAATGGCTTGAGTGTGGACGAAAAGGACAACTTCCTGCAGCAGATTAGGACAAAGGTGAGTTGCCAATTGCCATTGATTATTGCAATATTTTTATGGTCTTTTAGGCTACTATTTCATGATGATAAGTAGATGAAAAAATGATAATATATTGCTTAAGAACCTTCTAAATAGATCTATCAGATAGAGAATATCTAGAGTAGGTTTTTCTCATGAGTTGAGCATTAAGTCTCAGTAACTTGCCTATAGGACCTCTAAAATATAGCAGAAATTTATACAAAGAAGCATATTTATTTCCAGTCATATCAAATATTTGCTTGTTTCTTGTTGCTGTACGGATCTTATTCTGTGAAAAATTCTTCACATCTGCTACCTGGCGCAGATTGACTACAATAGTCTCTTGTTTGTGTAGTGCTCTTGCAGTTTTCTATGGCTTCGCACAAATTTCATTTACTTCTTTTAATAAATAGAAGCTTAAAAATTGTTGATTATAGAATTCGTCTAGCACTGATCCCTTGGCGCTTTGTTGTATGATTGTAGTCATTCAGTCTGAAGCCAACTGTGACATCAAAACCACTTTTCCAAACTGGGGGCCCTGCCAATGGCAAAGTCACTGCAATTTTGGAGAAGGCAAATGCAATTCGCCAGGTATCTCTCTTCCCCTCAAAAACAAACATAAACGGAGGAAAAGCTTGCTTATGGTCAATTTATATTAGCTTAATGGCTTTCTATAGTATTCACTGTTATTTGTTACCTATTCAGGTTGTTAGAAGCGACGATGGGGAAGATGATAACTGGAGCAACCCTTAAATTGTCGCCAGTACATAAAAAACCAATGGCTTGTATTTTTTATTTCGATACTAGGTGAGCTGCGATATGTTTTGTTCATAGCCCCAGTTCCTTGTAATTAAGTTGTAGGTCTTTCTTGTATCATTCTCTGAGGTCGTTGCTTCGGCAACTTTTAACTTCGTTGTAAAAGTTAGGTGAATTCCAGTTCTGCAATGTTACTGAATCTTGAGGCAGTTCTTTGCTTGAGCTTTGATTGTACTTTGTATTAGTTCGTGATTAGAAAGTTACTGTCGCATCACCAAAATGGACCTTATTCATAAAGTTTCTTCTCCAATGCACGATGAGATGGACAATGTCAAGGGGAAGTGGCAGAAATTAAGAGTATCTCGCATTCCATGGATTAAACTCTACATAACAATCAAATAGACGTACTTCCAATCTAAAGCTGGTGGAAATTGCACTAAAATTACTATCTCAAGACTCGTTTAAATTTCTATTTTTTGCTTAGGAGCTTGCTCGATTCAGAAATATTGTTCTCCAAAATAGCACATTTCGTGCTTTTGTATCGAACAGAATTGCATACAACAATTTGAAAATTTTCTTTGCACCTCATCCTTCTATTTTGGACATCCAGAGCCCATCGTAAAAAAAAAAAAGATTTATCTACTTATACAATATGGCATCCATAATGGGTGCCATAATGTACAAGTGGCACCTTCCTATTGAAGGGGTGCTGGGTTGCCATAATGTACACCTAGCATCGTCCCAAAAAAAAAATGTGAAGTTGGCACGAGTAAAAATACAGATTCGCACTAAGCAAAAGTTATATAAAAGTAAAAAATAAAAAGTTGTCTACTTTCCAACCTCAAAAGTCCTAAAGGAATGTTGACTCGTATATCAAGTCCTTCCATGTTGCTTATAAATTCGACCTCTATTATATATTCCGAGGTTTCAAAATAATATTGTTTATTTATAGTTTCTAGAAGTTGATAATGCACCCCGAGAAAAAGGGCTTTTTCACATCCATATAATTGGATGTTGCCTTTATAAATCTGTTCTCTAATTGGCATAGGCTCTAAAGTGGACTAAAGTAAAAGTAAATATGTCTTTCCATTTACTAAAGAGCGGAAATGCTTGTTTGTCGAGATTGATTGTATATGGGAAAGAAGTGTTTGAAATTAAGCTACTTTTTTTCTTGATCAATAAAAACACTTTCACTAAAGTAATAATCCCACATATTTATTGAAAGAAAAAGGTAGATTCCAAGCATCCAGCTTAACGATCAACT